CTGGACGGATTTGTTTGTACATGCAACGAACCAGTGAAATGTTACAATGCACATATTACCCTTGCAAGTTCGAGACCGTTTTTAATGAACACGTGTAACTTTAAAAATTCCAAATAAAAAAATTGTTGAACAAGAATTATATTTAGGATCATATTACTAATCATTAAAATGAATTAAATACGTAGATTAATAATCCAATTCTTAGGTGGAAAGCAAGTTTGACATGATTCGTAATGATTTTAAGCGAAACGATTCTAATTGGCCATACAATACTCGATATCAACTATCTCTTTGGGTGACGTGGAACTCAGCACAATGGGATCCGTTTTACCAACCAAAACATTATCTTCAATACGAATCCCCATGCCATGATATTTCTTAGGGTATGCGTCATTTGGCGGGATGTAGATGCCTGGTTCTAGAAAATAAAACCTATTTATCATGTGTTATACACAGAAATACGGGATTATGATGACTAATATTACCTATTGTTATCACCATTCCGCTTAGTAATCTCCGTGAACGATCAAGATCATGAGTGTCATGTACATCGAGGCCAAGATAATGTCCCACGTGATGAGGATATAAGACACGATCAACATCCTAGACGTGTCAAAGACCACAACACATGAATGACACGCAGATGTACACAATTCCTCTTGTATAACATTGAAAACTCACCCCTTCAACAAGATCAAAACCAAGATTTATTAATTCCTCTTTCATTATTTGCACTGAAGCCTCGTGTATCCCATTTAAAGATATGTTTTCCTCTTCTGTACATAGCTGCAACCAGTGCATCGTCAAATAAATTCGTGAAGACAAAGTACGAGATTATATATAGATAAATATATATATACCTTTATGCAATTCCTGTTCACCTTCAAGACCACTTCATATATTTCACGTTGTGCTTGCGTAAATTTTCCGTTAATCGGCCACGTACGCGTGATGTCACTAGCATACCCATGGTACTCCTATGGAATCAGGATAAGAATAAATTTATCTTCAGCAATATATAGTGTAACTTCATTAATGTGTAGTACATACGCCGCCCGCATCCATTAATACCAACTCGCCATCCCTAGATAAAAAATAGACAGTTAAAATTTGATATGGTGATATTTTTTAAAAAAAAAGGTTGCGTGAAATACCGAAGTAACATATCATTTCTCACATAATGCATTGTTAATGCATTAATTCCTCCTGCGACCACGGGAACGTATGCCAGAAATTGTGCCCCATGTTTACGACATTCAAAATCTATTTTAGCGTATAAATCATGCTCCAGAAGTCCAGGCTTTGTAAATTTCATCGTCTAAGAAAAATTTTTTTCATAAATACTCAGCAAGTGTAAAATAATTATACAGATTAAATAACAATGAAATTTACTTGGATGAACGCTTTTCCTGTGATCTCTCCAGCTTTCTTCATCAGATTTATTTCGGCGTCACTCTTGATTACCCGCAAATCTTGGATTATTTTACTCAGTGGTTTGACTTTACCGCCAATCATATTTGAAACATTGAAATAATAAGTTATCCACGGGAACCTTAATTGAAGCCAAATAATAAATATAATTCCATCAATAAAGAGTACCACAAGCCCGATTGATATTTTTTTGAATGTTGTCGGTTGATAGAATGTTTGTTCGGGGGGGCAGGTCGATGTAGATTTCTTCATAGTTTTTAATTATTTCTTTGACCTTTGAGTTGAACCTTGACGATTCCATCGCCTAAAAATCGAGGATAGGTGAGTTATTAGATCAAGTTGTACGATCAATTATACTCAAGTCTATTTGCCTCGTCTGCACCAAAAATATCTACAGCCCCAATAACACCCGTCCGAGGACCCTCCCACATTTCGACGCTAGGATTTTTGGGAGGCACAAACATTGTCATCTTATAACCTCTGCGACTGTTATTCTTTTCTTACGTTTTTTAGACAAACGAAAATAATATGATTCTTTGTCAGTTAAAATTCAATGTACACGAGTAGAACACGTGGTCACCGTCCAATGTACCTAAAACCATCGCTGCATCGGGCTCGTTAAAACCTGAAATTTCATAATTGACGCGAAAAGAAACGTTGGACTTATTATTTCAACGTTCGGTCAAATTGACACGTGCAAAATCAAAGATTGATCTCATCATACCACACAAGTAAAAGAAATCTGTATTTTGGTGAAATGGATAACTATAAGAAGGATATGTGTGATAAATAAATTATTATGTAACCAAAAAAATATAATACAAACAAATAAACGTGCAAGATTATCGTGCTTTCTGTTGTTGCCCTAGTCATACGAACAATACTCTGTTTGACATGTATCGCGTACGATATCCTAGTGATATCGCGATACTATTTTCAGGTAGCCTTTCCATTAATAATGCGCGTCGAAGCTCGTATTCCATGGCCAAGATCCCTGGTGTTACTGTTGATTTCGAAGAGAGGCTAAGACAGTGAACACAAAATTGCATCGAATTGGAACCAATTCAAAACACAATCTAACCTTCACCGGGTTTCATCAAATGTGGATGTGTTTCTGGGGTCGGTTGCCCGAACGTACGAGGTTCTGCTGCTGTGAGCATAGCGGGAGTGCTGAATAGGCGTTTACATGATTTTGAGCCTGTTAAAGAGCACAAACTTTAAGTCAACTAACTGGTGATAAATATGGTAGGTAATAAAGAAACTGTAACTGACAAGTCCTTAAGTTAAATCTTAAAAACAAGGAACTGGAGAATTTGATAATTCGATTATTCATTTTTTTTTTT